CCCTTACCACTCTCCATTTGTTCATGCTGATGTCACACCTGTTTGCAATCACTTCTAATGCTGTCTGGCACCACACAGGCATGTGATATGGTCATCAAGTGTGCCCACCTTCCCCGGCCTGGCAGATGCAGTAAAGAAGGCTGAGAGCACCGGGCTGAAGGAAGACTGGGATCAGGCTCATAAACACATATCCATCGTCACACAGGCCATCGCAGGAGCTGCACACACACTGGATGATGTGATTTAATGCACAAAGTTAGAAATATTTTGCCGTTTTTACCAAATTAAATTCCTGAAATAAATATTTCCGCTCTTGGAGTTGTTAAACAGCCAGAGGGAGTATCAATCTTTAAATCATGTACAAATGTAAAAAATTCAGAGATTTCTAGAGGAACTAAATTATTATGACTATGAAACAAAAACCTGTTTTCTGATGAAAAATCGTGTGACAAGCTGTTTCTAGTAAATGCATAATTTGCCTGAAATGAAGATTGAAAGTGTATTAAAGTATGGTCCATACAAAAATAAACATTCTGTCATCATTTACTCACCCTTAGGTCATCGGCATGGTTTTCTGTCTTCTATGGAACACAAAATAACATTTTGAACAACATTTCAACTGTTTTAGCCATACACTGAAAGTCAATGGGGTCCAAAACTACAAAATGACACAATTTAAATTTTAAGTTAGGGGGGGAAAGGAAAAGAAACGGACAGAATATGCTCATTTCAGGCATGATTTATTGAAAACACACCAAAGTGATACTCTACAAACCTGTATTTTTCTTTAACAAGAGCAATTCTCTCTTCTGGGTATTAGTAAAATTAACAATACATTCGGTCACTGTGGCATTGTTCTTGAGTGCTAGGAAAGCATAAACAACTATATAATCAAAACCTTTTAATGTTTCTATCTTTTAAAATTGTATAATACAATGTAATACAAGGCAAAACCCACCACCAGTCTAGACTACATTGAGAACACAGAGTGAGTGAAAGTGGGAGGAGCCAGAGAGAGGAGGTGTGTGTGTGTGTGTGTGTGTTTGTTTGTATGTCAAAGAGACAGAGAGAGAGAGAGAGAGAGAGAGAGAGAAAGAGCAGTTAGGGACCAATAAAACATATAAAACACACTTATTTTCATCTAACATGGAAAAAGGTTAAGGCACATGATAGTTACAAACACATTTGCTACCAAGTTGTACACGTACTGAGTTTTGATGCTTTGAATTAGTGATATCTACAAAGGTAGGTTTCTCTTCAATCCATTTCAACATCATCCATATTTCTATAAATATACAATCTGATGCAAATTCACACTCTGGGAACCTCTTGTACTACACGGTACCAAAATCCTTTGGTTGTTTTCTGCAAAAAGGCAGTCAGAAACAGACAGTCAAATATTAATAATGAACCTACACAAGGCTAAAGATCTCGATGTGAACGTACACAACATTTCCTGTTTAAAAATGGAATCCTTACACTGTTATTTTGTTATTAGGAGTCTCTGTTAAAACACTATGGAAAAAACCTTGCTATAATTAGATATAGAGTCACATGACAGAAATCAGATGATAAAGCAGGTGTGTGCTGCATATTTCACATTATGAGGAAACTGTAGTGGAATTAAAAAAAATTTTTTTTTTATATGTATATGCATAACACAGGATTTCTTTACACTGACAGTGGGAACATTTGAGTGTCCACAATGTAATATCCAAATTACAATGACATAAAACGAAAAGAATGAAAACATTACAAATTTGTCATGCTTTTTGTTATACTCAAGGGATGCATTTTTGATGTGAAAGTATTTTGGCTTACATGGGAGCTGAAATGAAAGGAAGTATCTATCCCTGCTTCCTCTTCTGAAATTAATTCATTAAGTCAGATCATTTTGAACATGTTTTCCAATTGAAAAGGGAACACTGAAAATAAATGCTTCCACTTAACAAAACAAGATGTAAAAAGTATAAAATATAAATAGACAATGACTCTACAGCCTTTGATACACATTTAACTAAAGCAATGATCTGTTTATTATATTATTAATCAGTTTTATACAAACATGGCCATGCTTTATGTACGGAATACTGAATGTGCTCTGAACAAACTGTTATGGATTCACATCTATCAATGTTATAAAGACAATTGTGACCATTTTGCACCCTCTTTTTTTAATATTTGTAACCTAATATACATTTATAAAACAACAAAAATATAAAATGCTTTGAAAATCTACTTTTATGACAACAGGAGCAAGTGAATCCTCCTACTATCCCTCATACCACAATCTACATATTAACAAATCGATTTTTTTTCCTCATTACCCCTTATTAAATAAACCAAAGCAATAGCTGGTAAGTGCCAGTGTTACCCAGAATGCCTCTGCAGCTCGACATGTCAAAGGGAATACGGGATCAGCAGACCAAATCCGGCTGAAAGCATAGCAGCTCTCCTCCTTTAAGCTCCGCTATGAGCAGATGTCATTGTGCAGGGTAAATCCCTGCTTTTGAACAACAGTTCTCAGTGAGAAGAAACAAACACAGTGATAATATGTCTTTAAAGTTGCTTTATAAAGCCAGCACACAGAAATTGTAAAAGCGTGCAGTTCATTATAGACCCCCCACACCCAAGCTTTGTATGTGCCCCCACACCATTGAAATGAACAACAACAACAACAAAAAAAAAATATTTTTCTTCCTTTCACGAGTGTCCTCAACTCCTTTAGAAAACCCAAACTTTCATTCAAATGCTACAAAATGAAAAGAAAAAAAAAATCACAATTCACTGCACTTCTGGGGAAAACAAATCCACAAAACAAACAGTAATCAGGCAGAAACATACAACAAAAATAATATAGGCAAAAATTATATATTTTTTTGTTTTGACATAAAAATTGTTTTTTTCTTATTTCCTTTTACCCCTCAATCCAATTCTTTCCAATACACGTCCACGTCCATGACAGCACTTCCTGTACATCATTCCGGCTCCATGACAACAAATCCTCAGTTCTGGGTACACTACATCCAGTGGGAATGTACATATGAGAAGTGGCATTTTTTTTTCTTTTTCCCTTTCACTTGAGAAATCTCAAAATATTGGCTGTTGAATGAAAGTTTGCATTTTTCTCTCGCTCTTTTAGGCAAAAGTCTTCAGATGAGTCCACATCCCGGTGAGCTTTGCGGTTAATGGCAGTGGTGACTTGTGAAATCCTTGTATGGTAAGATGTGGCACTGTTGCTAGCTAAGCCTGCGCGGAGAGGGCAGGAAAGCCACAGACATCAGATGACATTACCAGACTTAATATGTGTTCTAATGAGAGATATTTCAATTATGTTCACAAACAAAGACATGACTACATTTCTAAACATGTACAAGATAATGTCTGTCAAATGAAAGTGAGCATGTTAATTGAATGATGGATGATTTTTAGGATGTTGAAACAAAATGACGTTTTTTTCTATATAACTTACCAGATTTAAACAATACAGCCAAACTTAAAAGCGAATACGATATTATGTAAAAAATAAAACCAAATGGTCTTCAACCAAATTTGTTTTCATGAATGACAAACTAAGGATAAGATCCTCTGAACATGATCTAATAATTCTATGTTTCTATATGACTAGAATTCAACTGATGATGCTTTTCTGCCAGACAGATACAGTATGGGATGAAGAAAGCAGGGATGATGACCAGATATTTGGCAAGCATGAGAATGAAAATCAACAGACGATGGTGATGCAAACCCGGAGAAGTCAGCATTGCCTACGAGAACATGTAAGACACAGTGTAGCTTGATCATTTTAGTCCACTTTCCATAGAAAACAAGTCAAAACCGTTCAAAGGTTTGGGGTGGGGATTTAGATCTAATAATTCTATGCTTCTATATGACTAGAATTCAACTGATGATGCTTTTCTGCAAGACAGATACAGTATGGGATGAAGAAAGCAGGGATGATGAGCAGATATTTGGCAAGCTTGAGAATGAAAATCAACAGACGATGGTGATGCAAACCCGGAGAAGTCAGCATTGCCTACGAGAACATGTAAGACACAGTGTAGCTTGATCATTTTAGTCCACTTTCCATAGAAAACAAGTCAAAACCGTTCAAAGGTTTGGGGTGGGGATTTATTTATTTTAAATAATTTTTTAGCAAATATTCAGCAAGGATGCATTAAATTGATCCAAAGTGTCAGTAATAAGATTTATAATACTGCAAATGTTTTCTATTTCAAATAAATGCAGTTTTTCAATTCACCAAATAATGCTGAAACATGGTTTCCACTAAAATATTAAGCAGAAAACTGTTTTCAACATTGATAATAAGAAATGTTTCTTGAGCACCAAATCAGTATATTAGAATGATTTCTGAAGGATCGTGTGACACTGAAGACTGGAGTAATGGTTGCTAAAAATGTAGCTTTGCCCATCACAAAAATAAATTAGTGTTTAAAATATATTAAAAAAGATTTTAAATTGTAATAATATTTTAAAAATATGACTATTTTTAATCAAAACCCTTCTTTAAAAAACAATAAAAAACCCCACCAAACTTTTGAACAGTAGTGTACATGCACTTAATTATGCTCCACTTTTCAAGAAATCTGTCTGATCCGATCTTCACATCTATTCTGATTCACAATCCTCATGACGAAAATGATATAGATCTGAACATGCACTCATCAGATTAGTGTCTGATTCAGACAATGCACTTCTCTGGGTTAGACAGAGCAAATGATAACAAAGGGTGGGTGTTATTTCATAAACAGGACGCGTGAGAACAAATCCTCTACTATAAAACATCCAAATCAAACACATAAAACCTACCATGCATGCATTTAGACCCAGGAGTCAACAGGCTGAGGTTTAACATCACAAGCATCCACCAGACTGACAGTTGGCCTGTTGCTCCTGATATAGTGTTTCCTATTTGTGTCATTCTGCAGCAATGGGAGAGGGGTTCAAATCAGCAAAACCGACAGTTTAAACACACAGAGAAAGGCCAGAGTTAGTCTTCGCAACAGGGGGAAGCTCAAGGGGAAAATAAACAGTTTGAAATGATAGAAGAGAGAGGTCACTGAAGTGAATGCATGCAAGATCCATTCTCGAAAACAACAAACCGTTGTTTGGCATGATATTTAGGTACAAAAGCGTGTTGTGCCAACAGGGACCCCTAGAGGGAGCAACTTCATTGTATTAGACGGAAAATAAACCCTTAATGTCTGCCAAATATTGTGGCAATAGAAAAGAATGAATCTGTTTGTTCGGTTGACGTTCTGACAGTCGCAGCGACAGAAATCTGAATTTGTCATGACATCTATTAAAGCGTCTGGAAAGCCTAACAAAGAAATACGGCAGGCAGCTGTTGAGATACAAAGCCCTGTCACAACGCTGAGACAGACTACAGATGGTACAGAAATGTAGTCGTCAATAAGGCAGCGTGTCCATGAACACGCTCATCTATGAGCACAGTGTGGCCTCTCTCGAATGCAGACGCAGAAAAGTGAATCGCTCTCACGCTGGGCTCTGATAACACTCATAATATGAGATGACTCCATATAAAGTCAAGAGGGAGTAAGAGAACTCAATCTACTGTTGCAGAGGCACTTGAAATGCAAGTCGACCTCTCCTACAGATGCCAGTCAGAGCGGGAAAACAGCAGCACCAGGCAGATTCTTAATCATCTCTACATTAATGACTTTAAAAATCACAAAGCTGATGTTTAATTATCTATTTAAGCACAACATGGGGCTAACAACAGACTGTATGAGGGGAATCCAAGTTTAAATATACTTAATATGGACAGATATGAGTATCTTAAACATACAGATATAGACTGTAATCTGAAAGTCTGCTATAGTAATTGTAATAGTAATCTGGATTACATAATCAGATACAACAAGTAGTTGTAATTAGATTAAATTACATTTTAAAATACTTGTAATCAGACTACAGTTACTTTTTTTATAGATTACCTGATTACATATTATTCACACACTAGCAATAAATTATTCATAATTTATTGATTCCTGCTAATTCTTCTTTTTCATCTTATAAATTTATTTACATGTAATGCATGGTTTTCCAAACTTTTTTGGGAATATATATATATAACATATTTAAATATTTGAATAATTAGGTATCACATTTGCATGTTCATGGTTCTCCGACGTTGGTTAATGGTCACATGACATTCAGGTAAACAAATAAAATATTAAATTTTTTTTTAGTAAGTGTTTTATTTAGATTTATGTTATTTTAATATGATTTATTTTAATTTAAAATTTGTATGATTTAATTAATTATTTGCTTTTCATTAAGCTCACAAAAACTTGGTTCCCTTATGAACTAATGAGTTTGGGAAGCCTTGATAATGTAATGTAATGCACTTCATGTTGTCAATAACAACGAATGGAATATATTTTCATTTTCTTTGCATTTTTGTATTGATATGGTAGATTTAAATCAATGTGATAAATGAGTTAGGGCAAAAGTAATCTAAAATTAATCAAAAAGTAGTCTGATTATATTACTTAAAATGTGTAATGTAATGGATTACGTTACCAACTACAGTTTTTGTCATGTAATTTGGAATCAGTAACGGATTACAATTTGTAAGTAATCTACCCAGCTCTGTATATGTACAGTATATGTGTGTGTGTGTGTGTGTATATA